TCGCTTATTTGTAATTCTGTCCCGCCTGTAGCTTCTGTATCCTGGAACACTGAGCCATCAGTCCTGCCCTTCTCTCAGCCATGTTTCTGTTACAGATATAATATCCCAGTCCCCAGAGCCAATCCATGCTCTGAGCTCATCTGCCTTTCCAGTCAGGCCTCATGCGTTGAAATAAATGCATTTTAAAATAGAAACCTTTTCCCTCCCTTTACTGCGCCCCTGGCTATCCTGAACAGTAAACTTGTTCTTGATGGCTAATGTATTTTTCCCTGACTTCTCGATGGCCCCTCTTGTTCAGAGTTCCATTCCCATGCCAAACTAAATGAAATACTCCTAGGTAACGCCAGCAAATGTCCCCACTAGGATACTGGATGCCCTCTGGTTCAAGTGCAACCCATCCCTCTTGTAAAGGTCACCTCTACCTCAGAAGAGATCCCAATGATCCAAGAACTGAAAACTCTGCCTCCTACACCAGCTCCTCAGCTGCGCATTCATCTGGCCTATCTTTCTATTTCTATCCTTACTAGTGTGTGGCACTGGGAATAATCCAGAGATCACTACCCTCGAGGTCCTGCTTTTTTACTTCTTACCTAACTCCCTACACTCATTTCACAGGACCCCATCTCTTTGTCTACCTATATCATTTATACCAATGCGCACAATGACCTCTGGCTGTTCACCCTCCCCATTCAGAATGTTCTGCAACCGCTCAGACATCCTTTACCCTGGCACCCAGGAGGCAACATTCAATCCTCGTGTCTCTTCTGCAGCCTCAGAATCTCCTATCTCTCCCCGTCACAATTCAGATTCCTATCAGTATCACTCTATCTGACTGCACCCTTTCCCTCTGAGCCTCAGAGCTGATCACAGTGCCATTGACCTGACTGTGCTGCTGCTAGCTCCTGAAAGGTTATCCCACCCCCCAACAGTATCCTAAGTGGTATACCTGTTTTGTGCATAGGAGCTGACATTAAGACATGTACAGTTCAAACTGTTCCAGATCATAGTAATGGAGTGAGACTTGCAAATAATTTCAAACTCACCACTTTGTTTACATACATTCAAATGTTCTGAATCCTCCTGTTTTGAAATGTTGTTTGTATTAATTGATACTTTAAATAAGTACTAACTTATACAATATAATGACGTCCGTGGTCAATTATTTATGAAGAGTAATGAGTCCTGGGAAAACTGTCACCAGGAACCATGTGTCTTGAAGGTTTTTGATGATGTCTCAGTGGAATAGGACTTGGGTCTAACTTCTCCAGATCTCCTGGCTGTCAGTTCTCAGGAGCCGAAGCTGCAGACTGGGTCAGTGGGAAGTGAACTGAAATGTCTGGCAATTTCTTTGGATGAGCAACGCTCTCTTTTCTTGTGACGGGGCCAGTGGTTTCCCCGCTGTGCCGCTGTGCTTTCTGTGCTGATACCCTGGCTCGGGCATGGAGTAATCGATCTTTGGCTGCCTGCGAGAGGATGGTCTGAGCAGCTTTCCTGGCAGCACTGTGCTCTGCCTGCATTGTCAATTGCCTTGAGGAGGGAGAAAAATGAGATCACCCTTAGAGTCAAATACAGCACTCACATTAATAGAGGTCTGCGTTCTAATCAAATTCCCTCTGCACATCAACAGCTGCTTATTACAATAACGATTGCTGCTCGCTTATAATTGGCTCACTATTTACAATGGTCATCCTTTTGGATCTATTAGTGACTATAATATTTATGATCTTTAGTTCTAGTCGTTCCATAAGTGGAAACATTTATTCCATGCCTATCCAATTAAATCCTCCCATTCTTTTAAAGGTCTCTATTGGGATTATCTTTCAGCCTTCTCTTGAATTAAGCAGAGCCCATAACTATTCAGTATTTCCTGATCAATAAAACTTCTCAGCACTATTTCTGTCGATCCTTGCCAGACGTTTTGCTGAGCCTTTATGTTATTTACTTGTGTGAAGATCACAATCGGACACCCCGTCCCAGGTGTGACAGGCTTTGGAACATGCCTTTGTGATTTCCCTGGACACAGGAACTATGCATAGCCAGTCTATATGGAGAAAGGGCCTGTACTCACCGATCAAAATTGAGATAGGACCTGTCTCCATTGATCCGTATGGAGATGGAAACTGTACTCACTGATCTATAAGACCATTAGATATAGGAGTAGAACTAAGCCATTCAGCCCTTCGAGTCTGCTCCACCATTCAATCATGACTGAAATGTTTCTCAACCCAATTATCCTGTTTGGTCCCTGTAACCCTCTCTACATATCTGCTCCTCTAGTACCTGCTGGCTATTTGGGGGTCCATAATACAGTCCCATCAGAGTGACCTTCCCCTTCTTGTTTCTCAGTTCTAATCATATGGCCTCATTTGTTGACCCCTTAAGAATATCCTCTTGAAGCACATGATCCCATTCCCAATCAAGAATCTATCTACCTCTGTCTTAAATACACGCAATGACTAGACTTCCACAGCTCTCTGTGGCAATAAATTTCACAGATCACCATCCTCTGGCTGAAGAAATTTCTCCTCATCTCCAGGATCATGCTTGTAAACCTCCTCTGGACCTCTTCTAATGCAATGTTAGTATTCATTTTAAGAGGGCTAGAATACAAGAGCAGGGATGTATTGCTGAGGCTGTATATGGCTCTGGTCAGGCCACATTTGGAATGTTCTGAGCAGCTTTGGGCCCTGTTATCTAGGGAAGGATTTGCTGGTGTTGGAGAGGATCCAGGGGAGGTTCACAAGAATGATCCAGGGGATCAAGGCCTTGTCACATGAGGAGCAGTTGAGGACTCTGGGTCTGTACTTGATGGAGATTAGAAGGATGAGAGGGGATCCGATTGAAACTTATAGAATACTGAGAAGTCTGGATAGACTGAATGTGGAGAAGATGTTTCCACTAGTAGGAGAGAGTAGGAACCAAGGGCACAGCCTCAGATTGAAGGGACGATCCTTTAGGACGGAGGTGAGAAGGAATTTCTTCAGCCAGTGGGTGATGAATCTGTGGAACTCATTGTCACTGAGGGCTGTGGAGGCCAAGTCACTGAGTGTCTTTAAGACAGAGATAGATATGCTCTTGATTAATTAAGGAGATCAACTGTTATGGAGAGAATGCGAGAAAATGGGGTTGAGAAACATAACAGCCATGATCAAATAGTGGAGCAGGCTCAATGGGCTGAATGGCCTAATTCTGCTCCTTTATCTTTTGGTCTTACTTGCTTTCCTAACTGCCACTGAATCTGTTTATTAACCTTAAGACAATTCTGAACTGGGACACCAAAGTCCCTTTGTACTTCAGATTTCTGAAGCCTTTCCCCATTTACAAAATAGGCCATGTTTCCAGTACCAAAGTACATAACCTCACACTTTCTTCCACTGAATTGGTGGGTCTGGGTGGGGTGCTCTTCAGAGGGGCTGTGTGGACTTGATGAGCCAAATGGCCTGTTTGCACACTGTAGGGATTCTATGACTATTCCATCTCCCATTTTACCACTTCTTTTCCCATTCTCCTAGACTGTCCAAGTCCTTCCACAGCCTCCCTCCTTCCTCAACACTACCTGCCCCTCCACCTATTTTTTGTGTAATCTGCAATACTCTCAGTTCCTTTGTCCTGATGTTAACATATAACGTGAATAGTTGTGGTCCCAATACTGACCCGTGCGGAACACCGCTGCCATCCTAAAAAAGATTCCATTATTCCCAGCCCCTGCCTTCTGCCAGTCAGCCAATCCTCTATCCATGCCAGTACCTTGCCCTAACACCATGGGCTCTCATCTTATTTAGCAGCCTCCTGTGCAGCACCTTGTCAAAGGCCTTCTGGATATCCAAATAGATTATGACCATTGGCTCTCCCATGTCTAACTTGCTCAATACCTCCACAAAGAATTCCAACATATTTGTCAAGCATCAGCTGTCACAGCCTATTTTATCATGCCATTCCAAGTACTCTGTAATCTCAGCCTGACTAATGGATTGTAAAATCTTCCCAAAGACTGAGGTCAAGCTAACTGCCCTATAATTTCCCATCTCTGCTCTCTCCCTTCTTAAACAGGGTGTGTTACATTAGCCATTTTCCAGTCCTCTGGGACCCTTCCTGACTCCAATGATTCCTGAAAGATCACCACCAATGCCTCCACAATCTCCTCAGCTATCCCTGTCAGAATCCCTAGGATGTAGTCCATCCGGTCTGGGTCATTTATCCATCTCTGACCTTGCAGCTTCCCCAGCGCCTTCCCCTTCGTGACGGCCACTACACTCACCTCTGCCCCTGACTCTCTTGAAGTTCTGGTATACTGCTGGAGTCTTCCACCATGAAGACTGATGCAAAGTACCTATTCAGTTCCTCTGCCATTTCTTTGTTCCCCATTACTACTTCTCCAGCCTCCTTTTCTAGCAGTCCAATGTCCACTCTTGCCTCTCTCTTACCTTTTATAAAGGTCAGCATGGACCAGCTTGGGCCGAAGGGCCTGTTTCCATTCTGTTATTACGCTGTGACATTAAATCTAAAAAAAAAATTGCAATCTTCTTTTATATTACTAGCTATCTTACTCTCATATTTCATCTTGTCCCCCTTAATGCATTTTTAGTTGTCCTCTACTGGTTTTTAAAGCTTCCTCCTGATCTTTGCCACATTGTATGTTTTTCCCTTTGCATGTGCGACCTCTCTTATCAGCCACGGTTGCCTCATCCTCCCCTGAATATGTTTCATCTTCCTTGGGATAAATTCCTGCTGTCCTCCTGAATTATCCCCAGAAACCCCTGCCATTGCTGCTCCATTTGTCAGAATCTGAGATCTATAACATGGGGACAGGACATGTACTAACTGCTCTATGCAGAGAAAGGACCTGTGCTCTGTGATATATACAGGGACACGACCTGTGCTAACTGATCTATATGGAGACAGGACCCATCTCTCTGATACATATGAAGACCCAAACTATGTCCCTCTAGTGGCTTTCTAACCACCTGAACTTTTGGACATTGAGCGCACACGTCCTTTTTGGCTTCCAAAGTAAACTGGAAGCAATTGACAATTTGTCTCAACAAGCTCTTTGAGATAGATTCATGGGCATTATGAGATGATGGCTGTGACCTCACTGGTACGTCATGAAGTCTCTGATTTCTTTCTTCAGCTGGTTTGCTTTCTTCTTGATGCCCTGTGTCAAGTTAACTTTCTGTTGTCGGACATTTTCATTCTTTTCCTTGATCTGACGTTTCAGCTCAGACTCTGACAACATGGTGTAGCTGCAGTTAAATTTTGTGACTAACTGGTGCTCCAATTCTAGGCGACGCTTCTCAGTGAGGAACAGATAGTTGTTGTGGCGAATGAATGCCAACAACTCTGCTTCATCTAGATTGCGTCGCAGTAGGATCTGTTCCCCTCGCATCTGATCCTGCTCATATTGTTGGAGGGGCTCGTAACTTTTATTGAGGGTCTTCAGGAGAAGGTTGCTCCTCAATTGGTCTTCAGCTGCTTTCAGCTTGCGGGTCTCATCAATAAGTAGCTGATGCTTCATTTCTTTCTCTCTCTTGCTATAAGCTTTCTGAATGGCCACGAATGGAGCCAGCGAGATGCTGCCACGGGTTTTGGCATACAGCCTCATGTCCAGGCCTATTGGTGGCCGGTAGGTAAATTTGCGCTGTGGTTTGTTCCGTAGCATCTCATGGATCTTCTGAATGCCTTGACGGACATCTGCACCAGATGCCAAACGAGAGAGCAGCATTTCACGTACAGCATCTGGTTGGTGGATCACTCGAAAAGGCTTCATGCTCCCACTGGCATCTTCGTAAGCCTTTTCCTTGCCTTCTTTATCAATCTCCTGTTTTTTCTCTTCATTTGTCAAAGACTCCAGTACAAATATCCCTATTGCAAAGGAGAGAACACAGGGGATATTATGATCTTGTGGCATTGTGGCTAGACTATTAAACAAGAGATACAGGTAATGCTCTCAGGACTTGGGTTTGAATCCTACCTGTAATGAATCCTGTAATGAGGTCAGCCAGCTGGACATCATAGAATATGAGTTCCCTCCTCAATTCAGTCCTAAATCTCCTCCCCCTTATTTTGAGACTATACCCCCTTGTTCTAGTTTCATCCGCCAGCGAAAGCAACCTCCCTGCTTCTATCTGTTCCATTCCCTTGATGATTTTCAATGTTTCTATCAGATATCTCACTCCCTACAACATTTTCTGCTAAATTCCAATGAGTATAGCCCCAATCCACTCAATGTCATTGAACAGAATCCACACAGAGTGGAATCAGGCTATTCAGCCCTTCAAGTCCACCCAGACAACACCCCCCTAAACCACCATCTCCCTGTATTCCTGCAATTACCATGGCTAACCCACCTAGCCTGCACATCCCTGGAAACTATGGTCAATTTAGCAATGGCCAATTCACCTAACCTTCACATTTTTGAAATGTGGGAGGAAACCCGAGCATCTGGAGGAAACCCACGCAAATATGGGGAGAATGTGCAAACTCCACACAGACCAAGGGTGGAATCAGACCCGGGTCTCTGGTGCTGTGACGCAGTAATGTTAACCACTGAGCCAACAAGTTGCCCATCTCTCCTCATAAGCCAACCCTCTCATCTCTGGAATCAACCTAGTGAACCTCCTCTGCATCCCCTCTAGTGCCAGTTCATCCCTTCTCAAGTAAGGAGGCCAAAACTGTACACAGTACTCCAGGTGTGGCCTCACCAGCACCCTATACAACTGTAATATAACCTCCCTATTTTTAAACTCTTGCAATGAAGGACAATATTCCATCTGCCTCCTTAATTACCTGCTGCACCTGCAAACCAAATTGTTGTGATTCATGCACAAGGATACCCAGGTCCCTCTGCACAGCGGCATGCTGCAAATTTTTACCATTTAAATAACAGTCCATTTTGCTGTGATTCCTACCAAGGGAAGAAATAGCTGGGGTATTAGCAGATATCTTCACATCCTCTTTGACCACAGGCAAGGTTCCAGAAGAGTGGAGATTACCCAATGTTGTTCCCTTGTTTAAGAAAGGAAGCAGGGATAATCCAGGAAATTGTAGGCTGGTGAGTCTGACATCTGTGGTGAGGAAGCTCTTGGAAAAGATACTCAGGGACAGGATATATGCACATTTGGAAGAAAATGGACTAGTTAGTGACAGGCAGCATGGTTTTGTATGGGGAAGGTCATGTCGCACCAACCTGATTGAATTTTTTGAAGAGGTAACAAAGATAATTAATGAGGGGAGGGCTGTGGATGTAGTTTATATGGACTTTAGTAACGTATTTGATAAAGTCCCACATGGCAGATTGGTACAAAAACTACAATCACATGGGATTCAGGGTGGGCTGGCTAGATGGATACAAAAATGGCTTGGTCATAGAAGACACAGGGTAGCGGTGGAACGATGTTTTTCAGAATGGAGGCCGTTAACTAGTGGTATTCCCCAAGATCGGTTTTAGGTCCTCTGTTGTTTGTAGTATATATAAATGATCTGGAGGAAAATGTGCATGGTCTGATTATTAAGTTTGCCGATGACGTGAAGATTGGTGGAGTTGCTGACGGTGCTGATCATTGTGAAAGGATACAACAGGATATGGATAGATTGGAGACTTAGGCACAGAAATGGCAGATGGAGTTTAATCCCGACAAATGTGAGGTGATGCATTTTGGAGGATCAAATTTAGGTGTGAATTGCACTGTAAATGGCAGAACCCTTAGGAACATTAACATTCAGACAGATCCGGGTGTACAGGTCCACAGTTCCCTGAAAGTGGCAACACAGGTAGCCAAGGTGATTGCATGGAGTACAAGAGTTGGCAAAACATGTTGCAGCGATATAAAACCCTTGTTAGACCGCATTTGGAGTATTGTGTGCAGTTTTGGTCACCACACTGCCAGAAGGACAGAAGGATGTGGAAGCTTTGGACAGAGTACAGCGAAGATTCACCAGGATGTTGTCTGGTCTCCAGGACATTGGCTTTGAGGAAAGGTTAAAACGACTAGGATTGTTTTCACTGGAAAGATGGCGGCTGAGAGGAAATCTGATAGAGGTCTGCAAAATTATGAGAGGCATAGATAGGCTGGATAGTGACAGGGTTTTTTCCCAGGATTGAAGTTTCAATTACAAGGGGGCACAGGTTCAAGGTGAGAGGGGGAAAGTTTAAGGGAGTTGTGCAAGAGATTTTTCATGCAAAAAGTGGTAGGAACCTGGAACGCATTGCCAGAAACAGGCATGTTGGTGACATTTATGAGGCATCTGGACAGTTACATGAAGAGGGAGGGAATAGAGGGATACGGACCGAATAAGGGCAGAAGGTTTTTTTTTAGTTTAGTCAGGGCATGGTATTTGGCATTGACTTGGAAAGCTGAAGGCCCTGTTCCTGTGATGCACTTCTCTTTTGTTCTTTTGTTCTAAAATGGATGACTCATATTAACCAACATTGTACTCCATCTGCCAGACCTTTGCCCACTCATTTAACCTATCTATAAATCCCTCTGTTATCCAAGTAATTTTATGATAGCATCAAATTGAAAGAAATAAACACATAATGTGGCCAAGATCAGTAAACCAGAGGATTGGAAAAAGTTATAACAACTAACAAAAGATGACCAAAAAAAATGGACAAGATAAACTTTGGTGATAAATTAGCAGGACATTAACAGCTTCTTCAAAGATGTAAAAAGGATAAGCGATGCCAAATTGAACATAAGCTCGTTAGAGAATGAGGTGGGAAAATTAATAATGGGGAACAGGAAATTGCATAGGAGTTGAATAAATGCATTAGTCTTCATGGTAGAGGACACTAGTAGCATTCCAAAGTACAGAATAATCAAGGGACCAAGGGTGAGGACAACTAGAGTTGACTAGGCAGGATCGCCTATTTGTTGAGGGTGAAAATCACTAGGATTCCTGATCTCTTACTCCTCTTTCCTTTTATGAAGTAATTTGACACAACGTCATCTCCCTGCTGAATCTTGGAAGGAAGAACCTTCTTTCGGGCAGAAAGGGACACAAAGAAGGAGAAAGGGGTTATCCACAGGCACAGTGTGAAGTAAGCCAGTACCTCAGCAGAGAGATAGTATTTTTCTACAAAGTGTTGAAATACCAAGAGGAAAGCTACTAGAGAAACTAATGGGGCAAAAGACTGGTAAGTCCCCTGGACCTGATGGGAGGCATCCAAGGATATTAAAGGAAGTAGCCAACGAGATAGCGGATACATTGATAATAAACTTGCAAGAATCCTTACATTCTGGAAATGTATCAGATGATGAAAAACTGCCATTTAACATCCTTATTCAAAAAACAAGGGAGGCAAGATCAGGCTAGTTATCTTAACTTCTGTTCTTGGCAAAATGTTACAGTCTATCCAATTTACAGGATGTAATAGCAGTGCACTTCAAATATATATAGTACAATCAAGCAGAGTCAACATGGCTTCACGAAGGGGAAATCATGCCTGACCAATGTATTAGAATTCTGTGAGGATAGATAAAGGGGATCAAGAAGATATAATACATTTGGATTTCAAAAAGACATCCAATAAGATGCTGCACCGAAGGCTACCTATTAAGAAAGAGCCCAAGGTGTTGAGGTAGAATATTAGTATAGATTGGCTATCCAATAGAAAACAGAGAGTTTGGATAAAGGGGCATTTTCAGGATGGTAACCTATAACTAGTGTAATGCTACAGGGATGAGTGCTGGGGTCACAGTTATTTAGAGTATCTAGTAATGACTTGGATGCAGGGAAAGGGACCACAGTAGCCAAGTTGGCAAATGACACAAAAACAGATGGGAAGGCAAGTGGTGAGGATGACAAAAAGAGTCTGCATCCGTAGTTCTTTCAGTTTTTATTAGAGATAAGGAGGCATTTCTTCTTTCAAAGGGTAATGAATCTGTAGGCTTATAAGGTGGGTCATGAAGTATATTCAAGGCTGAGAGAGACAAATTTTTAATCAATAATGGAATCAAGGGTTATGGGCAAAAGGCAAGAAAGTGGAGTTGAGGATTACCAAATCAGCCATGATCTCATTGAATGATGGAGTAGTCTCCATGGGCTGAATGGCCTGCACCTGCTCCTACATCTTATGGTTTTCTGGGTAATTGAGTGCTATGATTGGCATGAAGTAATGGGTGATGTGGCCAGGGGTTTCAGCTATGGTGTTAGATCAAGCTGTAAACTGTCCAACCTTTCGTGGTTAAATGCATAGAGCAAGTTGCACTTGTCTACTCTGAGCTCATAGTCCGTGACATTCACCCAAGGTCATTGGGAAGAGTCTTTAAACATCCTGGATAATTTGTGTTCATACACTGATCAACCTTACCTGGTTGAGGGGCAAAATCTGGCTTTCTCAGGAATCTACGTCTTAAAATGCTGCTTTTATTTGACTTAAGGTTTGGAGAGTTCCATCTGTTCCACCGTGCAATACTTGGGTAAATGCCAGAGGTTATTTCGTTGGCTTCACACCGATCCTACATAAACAAAACACAATGAGAATAAAAGATACTTAAATACATAACTGCTTGTTATTTCTAATCTTTCATGGGATATGGCTATCACTGGGCAAGCCAGCATTTATTGCTTATCCCTAATGACCCTTGAGTAGATCACTGGGCCATTTTAGATAATGGCGAAGAGTTAACCACATTGCTGTGCATCTGGAGTCACAGGTAGGCCAGTCCAGGTAAGGATGGCAGACTTCCTTCCCTAAAGGAAATCAGTGAACCCGATAGGTATTTACAACAGAGGTTGCAGGAGAAACTCAGTAGGTTAGGCAGCATCTGTGGAGAGAAAGCAGAGTTAACGGTTGAGGCTCAATTCTGTAGAAGAGTCACTGGACCTTAAACGTTAACTTTGCTTTCTCTCCACAGATGCTGTCAGACCTGTTGAGTTTCACTTGTGACGTTTTTGTTACAATAGTCAATGATAGTCTCGTGATCACCATCACTCAGACTAGCTTTGAACTAACATTTTCATTAATTAATTGAAGTTAAATTCCACAAGTTACCATTATGGGATTTGAATTCATATTCCCAGAGTATTAGCATGGGCCTTTGGATTTCTAATCTAGTGATATTACCACTACACTACAGCTCCCCAACTGCTGCAATAGGAATTCTGCTCAGTTTTCCAGTAGAACAGCCCTGACATTGTCCTAACAGCTCTCTGCTGCAGACACGAGTCAGTATCACATTACACATTACTCTGCTGGACCAGTGGGACAACCTTGAATATCATTTCCAGGTACCTCTGCAAGCAGCATTTTAAGACGTAGATTCCTGAGAAAGCCAGATTTTGCCCCTCAACCAGGTAAGGTTGATCAGTGTATGAACACAAATTATCCAGGATGTTTAAAGACTCTTCCCAATGACCTTGGGTGAATGTCACGGACTATGAGTTCAGAGTAGACAAGTGCAACTTGCTCTATGCATTTAACCACGAAAGGTTGGACAGTTTACAGCTTGATCTAACACCATAGCTGAAACCCCTGGCCACATCACCCATTGCTTCATGCCAATCATAGCACTCAATTACCCAGAAAACCATAAGATGTAGGAGCAGGTGCAGGCCATTCAGCCCATGGAGACTACTCCATCATTCAATGAGATCATGGCTGATTTGGTAATCCTCAACTCCACTTTCTTGCCTTTTGCCCATAACCCTTGATCACTGATTGGACTGCACAATGTTACTGAAAGTTTGAACCATAGAAGATTCTCACTTCAATTAATTCTTTGATTTCAGTAAACACAAAATGGAAAAATCTGACTGCACAGAGAAATTAACTGCATGACCAACATTTAACTTCTCCTTAGAAAACAAAGAATGTTACAAAAACAAAAATAGCTGGAGAAACTCAGCAGATCTGGCGGCTTGTGTGGACAGAGAAACAGAGTTCATATCTTGAATCTGATGATCCTTCTTCAGAACTGATTGTAGCTGGGAAAAGGTTGATATATATGCTGAAGAAGGGGTTGGACCTGCTGTGTTTCTTTTCAGATCTTTTGCATCTGCAGTTCTTTGTTTTATTTGATACCTAGAATGGAAAGATTGTCTTATGAGGAAAGTCTTGTATCCACTAGAGTTTAGGAGAATACGAAACGATTTGATTGAAACACACAAGATCCAAAGTTGTCTCGACAGAGTAGACGTGGAGAGATGTCTCCTCTTGTGGGAGAATCTACAATAAGAGGTTGTTGTTAAACTAGCAGGGCTTGCCCATTTAGCTAAGATGAAGCAAAATATTTTCTCTGAGCGTCTTTGGAACTCTCTTTCTGAAAAGATGATGAAACAGGAGTCTTTGAATTATCACCATCACTGGCGGTCCTTTGCAGATGAGGATGAGTCTTTTCCACTCTCAGGGTGAGTCCATAGGTGGCTTTACAGATCGATGTGGCTTCCACAGGCTTTGTTACACTTGGGGCAGAAGGTGGTCATGGGGAAGGGGTGGGTGGGGTGTTGGTGTGGCAGCATGTTCCTTACACTGTTTTTAACTGGCTTCCACTTTTTCCCAATAGCAAGTCTCAAGGGGCTCAATCCTTTCCCGGATGCTCCTCTTGCACTTTGAATGGTCTTGGGCTAATGATTCCCAGGTGTCTGTGGGAAGGTTGCACTTTGCCAGTGAGACCATGAGGGTAACACTGAAGCACTTCCACTGTCCACCTGGGGCTTGCCTGCCATTTCGAAGCTGGGAGCAGAGCACCTGCTTGGGGAGGCTCTTGTCGGTCACATTGTAGTCGATCAAGGGTGGCCAGTACCTTGATGCTGGGGATGTTGGCCTGGTCGAGGACACTGGTGTTAGTGCATCTCTATTCCCAGAGGATTCACAGGATCTTGCATGGGCAGCATTGGTGATACTTGAGGTATCCGCTGTGGACAGTCCATGTCTCAGAGCCATACAGAAGGGCAGGAACCATCATAGCTCTGTAAACCATCGTCTTGGTGTTGGATCTAGTGTTATTGTTGTCAAACACCCTTTTCCTCAGGCAGCCAAGGGCTGTGCTAACACACTGGATGCGATGCTGAATCTCTTCATCAATAGCTGCGTGATGGACGCTCCCGAGGTATTGGAAGTGATCAATATTCTCTAAGACCTCCCTGCAGACCTTGATGCCCGGGGATTTGCTCCACAATGCCAGGTCAGGTTGGGGGAGGACTTTGTCTTATGATGTTCAGGATGAGACCCATGCTTTGAATAATTTTCTGGTCTAGGTGGGTAAGTTCTTGTTAAATAAGGCAGTGAAAGAATATCAGCAGAAGGCAGGAATTTCAATGTGAGGCTATAATCAGCTCAGCCATAATCTTATTAAATGGCATAGCAAGAGTGAAATATTAGAGGTTCAATGCTGGTTTGATAGGGTGTGGCCTCTTGTGGTCATGTCCCTACCTCTGGGCCAGGAGGCCTGAGTTCAAGCCCCACTTGCTCCAGAGCTGTGTAATACATCTCTGAGCAGGTTGATTGGAAAATATCTTAGTTTGCCAGAGTCCAGGTATATACTTTTTTAGTCAGAGATGTTTTCCAACTCTCACATCACAAAACTTCCAACACATTGATTATTATTACTCAATACACATATAATCAAGTTCTCACTCAATTATCCAGTCTTTAACAAATAGTTATCACCTAACCGTTAGTCCCATTTGGTCTTAAGCATCCTCCCTGCCATTCCCCAGTAGATGACAACAGCTTCCCTTTCTTTTCTTTCTAAAATAAATTAATACATATTTACAATATTAATTAAAAACCAAACAAAACAAAACATACATGACACCATGTTGTGCAGAATGATAATATATCATACTCCTGTTTTTTTTAGCGTACATTCTAACACTAACAGTTTCTTAGAACTTGCTCCTTTCTTTGTAAAGCAATCAGATGCTGTTATTCACCCATTTCAATTTTGAGTTTTCTCCTTTCGCCAGCATCTGTTTTTAAATTGTATTATTGATCCTCTGACTTTTCTCATCCCCATGTTTTGTTGAATGTACACTATCCCAAAGTGCCTTAATATTGTTTAGCACTCCACAGGTTTTGCCAATGAAGCCTATTTTTTTGAATTTTTTTCAATATTGTCATGAAGAAAAATGCTGTATCAGCCAACTCAAAACAGTGAGAGTTTCTGCTGCTCAGGTATTTTTTCTACTCTTCTGATCTTTTTGGCTTCCCAAGCTAAAAGGCAACATTCACAATCCTCTCCTAAAAGGTAAAGTGTAAACCCTCCCAAATGTAAACTGCCCAATAAACTTAAGAAGAGACAATGGCCTAATAGTATTATTGCTCACGTAATGTCACGGGGACCTGGTACAAATCCTGCTAAGATAGATGGTGGAATTTGATTTAAATAAAAATCTGATATGAAGAGTCTAATGATGACCATGAAACTGTTGTTGATTGTAGGGGAAAACCTATCTGGTTCATTAAAGTCCTTTAGGGAAGGAAACTGCCATCTTTACCTGGTCTGGCCTGCATGTGCCTCCAGACCCACAGCAATGTTGGACCATGACTGCCCTCAGTGATGGGCATAAATGCTGGCCTAGTCAGTGACACCCATATCCAATGAATTTCTGGTAAATCTTATCCATGTAAGCATTTCTTTTTTCTTTTCCTGGAATATATCAGGATCCTGCAGGATTGGGTGTAGAGGATAGGGGTTTTTGGAGGTTGGGACACACTTTGAGGGGCATCCCCAAAGGAGAAAAAGCCCTTACTGCTCACCTTTTCACCAGGTTTAATGAAGAGCATACAACATCAACTACAGTGCTGGAGGCAGAATAAGCTCCTACTGTAATCCTCAATCAGCCAGTTAAAGGCCTCGACAAGCCTAGAGGAAGGAGAGGGTGGCGGATACGTTGCTCACCCACTATAATTTGAGCTCAGCCGGGGGAATCGCAGGAGGTCAGTGGGCCAGCTCCTTGTCCTATGATACATGACTGGCCCCTCACAATGCCTCAACACAGCCAGTGAGGATCAATAAAACACAGCCCACTTTGGAGCCACGACCACCGTTTGACATGACAGTGGGGTACTGAACCTAATCTCAAAAACCTGACCCTTGTACCAACCAGCACAGACAGAGAAATTGCTCACATTACCAGACATACCTCCAGTAGAGCAATATCCAGCTTGTTTATATCTATCTGTAACTGGACAATGTTGTGTTGGCCATCCTCCTTACCTCCGCTGCCTGTTACCTAGATAACCAATAAGACAGTTTCATTACTGATGTACTGAACACAACAATAATTAAATGAATCCACATAACAAATCATTCCAGGCTGTTTGAAACATCTCTGAAGATTAAGACTGGGCTCGATTTTGTAATTTTTCAATCTGTTTTGTAACTACAGTTAATTAAACAAGGTCAATAAAAAAAGCATTCAAATCAACAGCTCTCTGAGTAAAACCTGCCGCATTTCATGAGCTGTTTACCATCTCCACCAGCCATGCTGACTGTGGTGAAAATGTAACAGCAGAGACAGCAAACTGATTCAACTAACACAGGTACAACCGTTGGACTGGATTTGGAACTAAAATAGAATGCATCTCAGTGCAGGTACACAGTCCCACCCTGTGCTCAGACACACAGTCCTCCCCAGTGATCTGACACACGACCCCATCCAACGCTCTGATACACAGTCCCAACCAGTTCTCTGACTCAAACCCAATCCAGCGCTCTGATACACAGTCCCAACCAGCGCTCAGCTATACAGTCCCACCCAGTGCTCTGATACACAGTCCCAACCAGCGCTCTGATACACAGTCCCAACCAGCGCTCTGATACACAGTTCCAACCAGCGCTCTGATACACAGTTCCAACCAGCGCTCTGATATACAGTTCCAACCAGCGCTCTGATACACAGTTCCAACCAGCGTTCTGATACACAGTCCCACACAGTGCTCTGATATACAGTCCCACCCAGCACTCTGATACACAGTCCCACCCAGCACTCTGATATACAGTCCCACCCAGCGCTCTGATACACAGTCCCACCCAGCGCTCTGATACACAGTCCCAACCAGCGCTCTGATATACAGTTCCAACCAGCACTCTGATACACAGTCCCAACCAGTGCTCTGATATACAGTTCCAACCAGCACTCTGATACACAGTCCCACTCAGTGCTCTGATACACAGTCCCAACCAGCGCTCTGATACACAGTCCCACCCAGTGCTCTGATATACAGTCCCACCCAGCGCTCTGATACACAGTTTCAACCAGCACTCTGATACACAGTCCAACCAGTGCTCTGTTACACAGTCCCAACCAGTGCTCTGTTACACAGTCCCAACCAGCGCTCTGATACACAGTCACACCCAGTGCTCTGATACACAGTCCCAACCAGCACTCTGATACACAGTCCCACACAGTGCACTGATACACAGTACTGCCAAGCACACTGATACATAGTCCATACAAATAATCTGATAAGTGTATCTCCCCTGTGATGCTGAAACCTGATGTTAATTTTTCAGGGGTGAAAACATAAATTTTAAACCCTAAACCCCTCCTCATGGTTCAGACTCACACACAAACTGCCATCCTGCAGCACATGAATACCCTCACTGCATAGTTCTCCGTGGAGATCCAGAAGTGGGAAACGGTGTTCTTTACATGGAATCGGTACAATTCTAGTTTAGCAAAACAAAATAGCAAGTAACATGACATTAGTATTTTGATAATGGCTTATTACAATTGTGACGAAATTAATAATTTAATTTTTTTTTGTCTGTGTGCTTTTGCGCATTAGAACTTGTTGGGGTGAGTTCTGGTTGACTGGAAATGGTAAACATTAATGACCAGAATGTACCCATGCAGCTTGGGTATCTAACATTCTGCCTGGGAACAGGGATACAGCTCGTTGGGAGATAACAATAGATCACACAGATCAGTTCAAGCTGGGCCTGAGAGGAGCCCTAGATGTCATTAGTGACTAAATGGCACTTAGAGTTGGGGCTCAGGGATACCAGGAACAGTATTTGGTCAGTATAGCTTGGGAGACTGAAGCTCAGGGAAGCCCGAATGCAGCCTGAAAGCTGAGAACATGTGTTTAGACATTGAAGCACAGCTGGCCAACAAAGCGGGGGTACAGTCTCAGTGGGTGGTCAGCCCAGGTGGGAAACAGAACCAAGAAGGCTGTATTGTGGAACAGATTTGAGAGAAATATGGAAGTGTGCCTATGGATTAGGGATTACAACAATGGAACATGGGTGGAGTCGTGCTGCTGAGGGTGGAGGTCTACATCAAATTCAAGGAGGTTCAAGCGCTGTAGTGTCCTGCTCCAAGCATTAGAGAGCTGAGGTTAAGCCAGCGATTAAATGTTAGAAGACAGCCTTGTGAATCCTGTGTGACACAGTCTCAGAAGAAAAGATTGAGCAACTGAGATTAGCAGCAGCAGTTTGGGCAGTTGAGGTGGAGTAGGTTTTGGGGGAAATCAGAAGCTACATCCTAAACAGAGAGGAGCTGAATTGTCCTATGAGGAAGACATGGCCTAAAGAATTTTGGTGACTCATGATAATTTGGCATGTGAGTAAGTTGCTGAGAAATTTGTGAGATCTATCTTGGTTATGTCTGTGATTTGATGTGCAGCTTGTGTTATGTTTGATCACTGTTTGCCTGTAAATTTATGTTTAGCTCATGTTAAGTCTGAAAATTAGAGTGCAAGGTGGTCTTGACTGTTTGTTTTGTTTGATACTTTCTAATTAACCTCTTCCAAAATGTTATTACACACCTGTGGAGCAGATAGGATCTGAACTCGGGCTTCCTGGCTCGGAGGTTTTGTAAAATAAGAATTATTGTTTGCTTAAAACCATGGAATCTTGCTTTCGTTCAGGAGCAACTGGGACTTCAAATTTTGCCTACATTTTAAAAAAAAGTTAACAAACCCTCTTAAGATCCCAACGGACCACAGGGTCTGGTCTTAGGTCCTAACACAATGTTTGGTTTTAAACAGAATGATGGGACCATTAAAGAAATGAATTCAGAGTGAATGTTACTGATGATGATGAAGATGGAATCGCATTAACAGCATTGTCACCTGATTGTTAGCCTTAAGTATGTTTTAGTTATTTGTTTTTTTTACTGCATGTGGAGATGCATCACTGGCCCCAAGGCTCAGAGGCATATAAAACTTCTGCTGGGAGATTTGATAGAGGTGAACAATATCATGACGATTGTGATACATTAACTAGGGAGAAGCTGTATCAGGTGGGTTGGTAACAGCCAGACCAATTACAGCAGTATGTCTGGTTAATACAGACCCTAGCACATGTCAACATCTGTCTGAGGTGCAAATTGTCTTTGTGATAAACTTAGGGTAAACCATTTCAGTAAACCATGAAAATCAGTAAACCTGTGAGCCTGTGGAAGTTTTTAAAATATATATTCACAGGATGAGGGCATTGCTAGCTAGGCTAGGATTTATTGCCAATCCCAGAGGGTAGTTAAGAGTCACCATGTTGCTGTGGGTTGGAGTCACATCCAGGCCAGACCAGGTAAGGATGGCAGTTTCCTTTCCTAAAGGACATTGGTGAACCATTTGGGTTTTTCCTGACAATTGACAATAGATTCACGGTCATCATTAGATTCTTAACTCCAGACTTTTATTGAATTCAAGTTCCACCATCTGCCATGGCAGGATTTGAACCTGGGACCCCAGAACATTACCTGGGTCTCTGGATTAATAGCCTAGCAATAATACCACTAGGCCAGCAGTTCTCCTTCTCACTATTCACTCCTACAGAAAACAGTTGAAGCCAAAACATTGCACGAATTCAAGGAGTTGGATGTAGCACTTGGGACAAAAGAGATCAAAGGGTATTGGGAGAAATTGAGAACAGCGGACTGAGTCGGCTGATCAGCTATGATTGTATTAAATGACAGAATGGTTGAATGGCCTTCTCTGCTCTGATTTTCTATGTTTCAATGTTTCTATGCAACATATTTCACAAGTGCAGAGTCAACATCAATATGAGGTGAGAACTGTCCCTGTGATAACACAACCCAGGACAGGGTCAACGTCTCAGGAGAAAAGAAAGATAAAAACACAACACAGAACTTGAAAAAAAGGCATAAAAATATCAAAAATACTAAAGTAAGAGTGAAAGGAGGAAAGAGAAACTGCACCATGTAAAATCAAAGTGAGCAACAAATGTAACACAAAAATAGAAAATGCATTTGAAGTAATAAGTTATAAATAGCTTTTAAATTTTTGCGCAGCAGTAGTGGATTTAACAAAAAAGAACCTGTTTAACAATTAGTGACAGCAAAGTAGAAAGGGAGCACCTTGTCAGGTCAATTTACAGAATAAAGACTGGAAAATAAGAAATCCTACAAATTAATCAATACCCCAGCTTCTTTCTGACCAAGAATCCACGGAACCATCGTTGAATGATCAGCACTGGAGAGCGATGGGCAAGGATGTTGTTGATGGTAGACAGCAGACTCCTAATCCATCTCAACTCAGTACACCAAGTCGAGATCTACGTGAAAGATGAGAGCACTGACAGTGGTTCCATTTCAACAAGAAATCAAAGCACTTCTTATAAAGCAGTAACAGAAAGAACTCATCAGTTAGCACCATTCCTCATCAGTGATCTTTGTGAGTTTGAGAAAGAAGTATTTAGCTATCTCCAGAATGACCAATTAAATCAATTTCATCTGGTAGAATTTAATACAACACCTGTAAAATGTACAGTGCTATTAAAGCAATAAAGCAGCTCAAGGTGCCTCACATTATTAACTTATCAAGTAACATTTTACAGAAAACAACCAACAGCAATATCATGACAGGGTAACAAAAGCTTGGTCTAAGAGGTCATATGAAAGAGTAACATTAAGGAGGAAGAAGAGAAATAGAAAGTGCAGCGAGGGAATTTCAGACTTCAGTGCTTTTCAGCTACTGAAGACTTGGCTGTCAATTTTACAGTGACAAGCACTGGGCAACATGTAAAAGGCTGGAGTGTAGATCCCCAGACCTTCAGCAGCCCAATATCTGGTTCAGTGATTACTCTTGTGCTCATCTGGCTCTGGTTAATATCAGTAGAAGAGCTCATCATGGGAATCATTATCCACACAGAGTCATAGAATTTTACAGAACAGGAAGAGGACATTCAGCCCATTCTGTCTATACCGGCTCCCAATAAAGCTACCCAACTGATCCCATTCTCCAGCCCTATCTCCATAGTCCTCTAAATTCATCACTTTCAAATATATACCCAGCTCTCTTTAAAAACCTCCTATGGAATCCACCTCCACCACTCTCCCAGGCAGCACATTCCAAATCCTAACAATTCTCTGAGTAAAGAAGTTTCTTCTCATCTCACTCATAGGTTTCTTGCTGACAATCTTGAAATTGTGACCCTTAGTTACTGACATGCCATAAAGTCACAGAATCATAGAGATGTACAGCACGCGAACAGACCCTTCGGTCCAACTCTTCCATGCTGACCATATTTCCTAAATAAATCTAGCCCCGTTTGACAGTGTTTGGCCCAGATCCCTCTATTCATGTACCCATTTCTTAAATGTTGTAATTGTACCCGTCTCCATCACTTCCTCTGGCAGCTCATTCCATACACATACCACCCTCTTCATGAAAAAGTTGCCCCTTAGGTCCCTTTTAAATATTTCCCCTTCACCTTAAACCTATGCCCCTCTAGTTTTGGACTACCCCACCCTGTGGAAATTACCTTCTTTATTTATCCTACCCATGCCCCTCATGATTTTATAAACTGCTGTAAGGTCACCCCTCAGTCTCTGACGCTCCAGGGAAAATAGCCCCAGCCTATTCATAGAACATAGAACAGTACAGGCCCTTCGGCCCACGATGTTGTGCCAAACTTTTACCTTAATCCTAAGGTCTATCTAACCTCCACCCCTACCTTATACTATCATCCATATGCCTATCTAATAGCCGCTTAAATGCCCCTAATGAGGCCAACTCCACTACCCTCTCCGGCAATGCATTCCACGCCCCGACTACTCTCTGAGTAAAGAACCTACCTCTGACGTCTCCCCTATATCTACCTCCACTCACATTAAAACTATGCCCCCTCGTAATAGCTGCCTCCACCCTAGGAAAAAGTCTCTGGCTGTCCACTCTATCTATACCTCTGATCACTTTGTTCACCTCTATCAAGTCAAAAGGTGCTAAGGTATTCAGCCTCTCCCTGTAGCTCAAACCCTCCAACCCTGGCAACATCCTCATAAATCTTTTCTGAACTCTTTTAAGTTTCACAACATCCTTCCTATAGCAGGGAGACCAGAACTGCATGCAGTATTCCATAAGTAGCCTCACCAATGTTTTGTACAGCCACAACATGACCTCCCAACTCCTATACTCAATGCTCTGACCAATAAAGGCAAACATACTAAACACCTTCTTCACTATCCTATCTACCTGCGACTCCATTTTCAAGGAACTATAAACCTGTACTTCGAGGTCTCTCTGTTCAGCAAACTCCTCAGGACCTTACCATTAAGTGTACAAGTCCTGCCCTGATTTGCCTTTCCAAAATGCAGCACTTCACATTTATCTAAATCAAACTCCATCTGCCACTCCTCAGCCCATTAGCCCATCTGATCAAGTTCCCATTGTACTCTGAGGTAACCTTCTTCACTGTCCACTACTCCTCTAATTTTACAACTAGCGAAAACAGAATATCTTTCTTTACCCTGTCAAAATTGTGTGTAATTTTGAACACCTCAATCAAACCACCTCTGAATCTTCTCTGCTCCAAGGAGAATAAGCCCAATGTCTCTAATCTTTCCTCGTAGCTAAAATTTCTCGTTCCTGGTATCATTTTAGTAAATCTCCTTATTACTCTTTCCAGGGTTTTAACATTCTTCCTTCAACAAGTTACCCAGAACTGAACATAATACTCCAAATGTGATCTGACTAATAATTTGTAGAGGCATGCATCACTTTTTTAATTCATTCATGTGATGTTGGCATCACTGTCCAGGCCAGCATTTATTACCCATCCCTAATTGCCCAGAGGGCAGTTAAGTGTCAACCACATTGCTGTGGGTCTGAAGTAACTGTAGGCCAGACTGCGTAAGGATGTCGGTTTCCTTCCCTAAAGGACATTAGTGAACCAGATGGGTATTTCCTGACAATTGCCAATGGTTTCGTGGTCATCATTGGACTTCTATTTCCAAACATTCATTGAATTCAAATGTCACCATCTGCCATGGCAGGATTCAAACCCAGGTGCCCAGAACATTAGCTGGGTCTTTGGATTAATGCTCTAGCAGCAATATCAGTAGGCCATCACCTCCTATTTCCTTGCTGTTATGCTCTATGCCTCTACTAATAAACTCAAGGATTCTAGAAGCCTTCTTAACAACTGTTGCAACTTGCCTGAATCATGTACATAAACCCCCAGGTCCCTCTGCTCCTGTACTCCCCTCAAAGTTGTACCATTGAGCCTGTGTTGTCTCTCCATGTTTCTTTGACCAAAATGCGTTACCACTCAGAGTTTGTGCGACTTTGGAGCTCTCTCCCTCAGAAGGTGATGCAGATTGGTGTAAGGGTTAAATCTTTTTGGTTTCCAACATTTTTGATTATGGTCCGAAATGGAAAAAAGACATTTTAAAAGCATGTTACCATCACTTATTGTAATTGATGTTTACATTGTTGATTGTTTAACCAGTGGAGGAAATGTATTTGCAGATGCACTGGAGCCAGAGGGATGTGCAAGGTAAGATTCCAATAACAATAAGTAGCTGATTGGTCTGTGGAGTGGCGATCCCATTCTCAATAACAAGGGCTGTCTGTCTGCCAACAGCTATATGATTGGCTCCCAATAAGCTGAGCAGCTTTTGGTATGAATGAGATAGCCAGAGACTAGTGGAGCTCTCGAAGGGGAGGTGGTGTCCTTTTCTCTGCAGGGAAGAAAACAACTCGAAGCCTGTAGAAAGCCAGTTTATTTCTCCTCATTGGTTGCTGTTAACTGTTGATTTTAACTAATTAGTCGGAGACATTTTAGTTGTGAACCAGTTGCTGTGTGCCTCCTGCCACAAGTGGAAGTACTTGCAGACGACAGATTGAGGAGCAGCAAGTCCTGACAAGCCAAAAAGATCAACTCACCGAACCCTATAGACAGAGACCACTGCATTCCCAGCTTTTTCCACCACTCGATAACACTGATATGCTCTTGTTTTAATTCACTCGTGGGATGTGAGCGTCACTGAATGGCCAGCATTTATTGCCCAACCCTAACTGCCCTTGAACTGAGTGGCTTGTTAAGCCATTTCAGAGGGCAGTTAAGAGTCAACCACATTGCTGTGGGTCTGGAATCACATGTAGGCCAGACCAGGTAAGGATAGCAGAATTCTTTCGCTCAAGATATTTGTAAATCAGATGGGTTTTTCCAACAATCAATAATAGTTTCGTGGTCATCCATTTTTTTTTAACGAATTCAAATTTCACTATCTGCCATGGTGGGATTCAAACCTGGTCCCCAGAATATTAGCTGAGTTTTTGAATTAATAGTCTAGCAATAATAAACACTAGGCCATTGCCTCCCCTTTGTCTGTATGTTTGTGTAGGGGGAATTTTGTATGGGGGTTAGAACTTTAATTAGGAGAGTTATATGTCAACAATTGCTTACCTCTAGCTAGAGTCTATTTATTTATAATAAATGGTTATTCTTGTTAAGTACAGAAACATGGTCCATGTTTTCTGTCAACCTGGGTCTAAAAGTCAGGAAATGTGGGGAGTTTTACATTCCTTGTGAAAACCATCAACTTTTGTAATGGCCCCAGAAATAGCGGGACCTGATTTCTTGCGTGGGGTGACTCTAGTGAGGTGTGACACTGGGTTATTGAATATTTTTAAGGTAGAGGTAGACGGACTCTTGTGGGGCAATGGGATCAAAGATTATCGGGGGTAGAAGGAAATGTGGAAATTGTTTATGTGTTCATATGATCCTCCTGTGAGCTGCGGATGTGTGTCTATCCCCTCGGTCATGTGGCAGAGTGGAAAGCCACTCCTCCACCGTTGCCATTAGTGTTACAGGGTCTGTCCCTCCTGGTTCTCATCAGACATCAATGTAGAGCTGTATAAACTCTAAGCTCAGAAAATCTGACAGATGGGAAGTGAAGATAAAGGCCAAAATTGCAGAAATAACTTGCAAAATGTTTTGAAATTGCCTTTAAAGCTGTGAAAGCACACTCAAAACAAATCCTGTGTATAAAAACCAAAAGAACTGCGGATGCTGTAACTTCAGTTCTGAGGAAGGGTCACCGGACCTGAAACGTTAACTCTGTTTTCTCCTCCACAGATGCTGCCAGACCTGCTGAGCTTTTCCAGCAACTTTGTTTTTGTTTCTGTGTATAAAAGGCAGTTTTAGTCTTTCCAGCCTGTCAATCTAGCAAAGCAAATCTCCGCAGGGAACCTGGAAAACTTCCCACAGCTTGGGAAAGCAGTGTGCAGACTGTTAAAGGCAGAATGCTGGGTTAAATTTACAAATAATTTTCTCTGAACATATTCAAATAACAAATTCACTGGCACACCTCCAAACAAGGGCGAGTTAAATTGGATGATGACAGATGTTATGTACCTATATCCAATTCCCACACTGTGCCAACATTGTAACCTGCCCCTCACTTCTGCATCTTAAAACCCAGTTTAAAATTCTGGCACTCCCTCCCTAACAGCATCGTTGGTATCTCCACACCAGGTAGACTGCAGTGGTTCAAGCAGGCAGCTCACCACCACTTTCTCAAGGGATGGACAATAATGCTGACCTAGCCCTTCCATGAATTTTTTTTTTTAATCTGACCTGGAATAATTAATCTTTCTTTCCTCTATTTCAATTTTGACAAATTTGCTGGACATTTCTGGTGTTTCTTTTTCCTGACTTTCAGCTTGATCTTTGTGGACGCTCAAAATGTTTCAGTCCCTCAATAATAGATAATAGCACCAACCTGTGAACACAATGGGAGGTCAATAAAGAAATAAGGACTTAAAGCTTTGAATTCTTCAGATTTTGGCCAATCTTCAATGATCTCCTCATCTGAGATGACAAAGTGATCCAAGGCTTTGAGAGACAAAATGCTGTTGACAACATGATGCCGATATTTTGGAACCAGACTGACTGGGGTGTCAAACAGAGTTAGAACGATGAGGTCTGGGCAGGAAAACAGGGGCTCAACACTACGCAAGGGCCCAATGAGGTTACCATGAAGAAAAAGGATCTGCAGAAACTTCATTTCAGACCAAAAGTCTTCATCTGGGAGATGCGCGATCTGGTAATGGGGGGAAAATAAGTATAATAATTACTTTAGTATGTTATAGCCAATTACAGAACCGTGAAGAAGACAGAGGAAGCAGAAATATTATTCAACAATTCTGTAGTTACATTATGGAGCTTAACTGGTCTTGACATCAATTTATTAAATTAGTTATATCACTCCAGAGCCAAGTTAAACTACTGTCCCAGTTTAGAAATAGAAATACCTTGAGACTCATCCGCTCACCTAATTAATGATTCTAGGCTTCAGCTCTCAGGACTTACTGCCCTCAGCTCCTTCTCTAGGGCCACTCCATTTTTAGTGAAAGAAAAGCTCGTACCTCTTCCCTCACCACACGGAAATTCCCCTTTACCAAATTCCCAGAGTTATGCACTCAGCCTCACTGCATTCGGACTAAGCTGCACCTTTGTGCTTCTTGTGCATCTGTTAAACGTCCTGCACTTTCACTAGTTGCAATTCCAGTGACCTGAGTCAGCTATAGCTAGCTAGGAAACCAGTTCTAAATAGTTACCTTATTAAGTATCTCTGCAGCTGCCTCTCAGTAGGAAGCTTGGTTTCACTGACTAAGATGAAACAAGCTATAAATCAGTTTTACTGTTACCTTGGGATGCTTCTCCACAGATCCCTGAAGGCAGCAGGACTGGTTAATAGGACAGTTAAGTAGGCAGACAGGACACTTGCCTTTCTCAGTGGCACAGATTATAGTAACTTTGGTGAGGCCGCAGCTGGAGTACTGTGTGCAGTTCCAGTCCCCACATTATAGGAAGGATGTGATTGTACTGGAGGGGGTGCAGAGGAGATTCACCAGGATGTTGCCTGGGATGGAGCATTTCAGCGACAGAGAGAGGCTGGATAAGCTCGGGTTTTCTTTAAAGCAGAGAAGGCTGAGGGGGGACCTGATAGAGATGTAACAAAATTACGACGGGCATAGACAGGGTGGATAGAAAGCAGTTGTTTCCTCTTTGTTGAAGGGTCAATCACAAAGGAGCATAATTTTATGGTGAAAAGCAGGAGTTTTAGAGGGGATTTGAGGAATTTTTTTAAACCCAGAGGGTAGTGGGAATCTGGAATGCACTGCCTGAGAGGGTAATTGAGGCGGGAAAACTCACAATCTTTAAAAAGTATGTGGATGAACATTTGAAGTGTCATAACATTCAACACGACAGGCCAAATGCTCTAAAGAGGGCCGAGTGTAGGCTAAGAATAGTTTTTGAGCAGACTCAAAGGGCCAAAGGGCCTCTTCTGTACTGTATGATCCTACGAACTCCACAGATTTCTCTCAGCAGAAAATGTGTTTTTATTGATTAAGGCTGCAAGAAACTGTAGGTTACTTTTACTCTTATGTTAAATGCTAAATGCAGACTTCACTAGATTTTAAAAAGAGATCCACCTTTAAAATTGGCTTACTGGGCAGATTCCCCACACGTCCTAGCTTTCAAAAAGAACCTCTGCATCAGGTTATGGGTTCAAGACTCACGTGAGGAGCTGAATGTGGAGTCTAAGCTGGCCCCTACAGTGTAATAGTTGCCAGCTGCTGAAGTGAATGCATCAGGGAAAAGGAAGGAACCCTCCCAGTATTCTGGTCAAAGTTCATATTTAATTTAACTGCAAAACAACACTACATTTCAAAAGTAATTCACCAAGATTACAAATTGTCTGGTTCAGCCTCAGTTTCCACTGTGAGGTGAGGGAACGAACTTTGTGGAGGAGACTTCAGATTGTAGGTTTTGTCCTACCAACAATTAGTTCATGGAAATTTCTACCCAACAAGTTCTGGAAATTGGACGAACAGTCCGACTAATTAAGACACAGTGGTAAGATGAGAGCATGCGAAGACTGTGTTATTGGAATATGTCACCATGGGTGTAGTGTGTACATAATAAATAGATGGATGAATCTTTAAAGATTCCAGAGGTAATGGTCTGGGATTGGGAGAAGAGGCTATTGCAGGAAATTCAGCAAACAAACCACCTGGCATTGACCTAGGCACCACAAATGTCAAAAGCAAAATCAGCCCTGTCGTCCTGCAAATTCCTCCTTATCAGCATGTGAGGCCAGGGCCAACATCAGGAGCACGGTCTCACAGACTTTTCCTTAAGCAGCACTTTCCAAACCCATGACCACTGCCACCTAGAAGGGCAAGGCTGCACCGCCTGCAAGTTCCCCTCCAGGCCACTCACCATCCTGATTTCTCTTCAGTGTTGCTGGCTCAGAATCCTGGTAAGGGGGGAGCACTCATCACATTCCTAACACTGTGCCGTGTTGGTGGTTGTCAAGCTTTGGGGAGAAAGGAGGTGAGTTACTCACAGCAGAATTCTAGCCTCGGACTTTTCTTATTCACTTGTACAATGTAGGCGTTGCTGGCTGACCAGCACTTTTTATTCCCCATCCCTAGTTGCTTCCAATGAAGGTGCTTGTGAACTTCTATCTTGAACCATTGCATTCCATGGGCTGTAGGTTTACCAACAATGCCCTTAGGAAGGGAATTCCAGGATTTTGACCCAGTTACAGTGAAGGAACAGGAATGGCCTCCAACGCCCAGTCTTGAGTTGCTGGAACTGTTCAAAGTCTGTCCCAGTTAGCACGGTGATAGCGTCACACAACATGACGGAGGGTGTTCTCAATGTGAAAGTGGGATTTCTTCTGCACAAGGACCATGCAGTGGTCACTCTGGTGACTTGCTCTCGTGGCCACTGTATTTATCTGGCTAGTCCAGTTTGTGGCCAATGGTAATCATGTGATATTGTTTTTACTGAGCACACACCTCCTTTATCACTTACATGGTTTCCATGGAGATCCAGCTTGATTAAATTGGGACATCCTGCGAGAGCATCAATTTTAGTGATGTAATTCCTGGACAGGTTGCAAACCTTCAGAGCAGAGCAATGAGGCAAGCTGCCCAGGTTTTTCAGATAACGTCCAGACAAGGTTACGACAACAATCTCATTGAGTTTCTTCTCTTTATATGCAATGATCATCTGTCCACATGACAGGATTAGTGATTTTGAAGGAGACACAAGGTGACTTCTGTTGACTGGCTGTTTCTTAGCTGCGCGGCTCTGTGGAATATGCAAAACATCGAACAATCAGGATAAAAGTGGAAGGAATGTTTTTATGACCAGGACATAGAGAAAGACTATGAAGGGGATTTTCTTTACAAATATACCTCCCTTTTCTATGTTAAGAGAAAGACCATAATCAAAATGAACACTTCAGTGAGCCATGAAAGAGCACTGCCTTGCTGGAAGAAATTAAACTAAAACTTTGTCTGACTTCTCAGACCTAATGCAAAAAGTAAAGGTAAGGTAAAGTTGCCATAGTCTTACCAGACCATTGGTCTGTTCTCTCATTAGAGAGATGACTGGTGATGCTTTAACGTGACAATCACCACACCTCAGCCTGTGCGGGAATTGAACCCATGCTGTTCTGTCACAAACCAGCCATCTAGTTAACTCAGCTAAATGCCAACACCCCTCCCCCCCTCCTCCACCAAATGTAAAAGACCAGAGATTGAGGGATACATGTTCTTCAGAAAGAAAGAAGGTCAAAACCTGGAGAAAGAATGAGTCATCTCGACCCTCAAATCTGCTCTGCCATTTAATAAAATCATTGCTGATGTCCTACCCCAATTCTAGTGTCAGTCCTGTTCCCAAGTTCAAATATCTTCTATAGTGAAAATGCTGTAAAAGGACAGATCATGCTGGGTAGGGACAAAAATGAGAAAGGTGGCAGAGGATATGAATGAGGTATTTGAATCAGGACTTTGCATATATATTTGCCAAGGAAGAATATGCTGTTGAAATTGTAGCAAAAGAGGAGATGGCTGAGATCCTGCATGAGCTAAAGATTAATGAGAAGGAGAAGTTATAAGATAAGTCGGTGTACTAGGACCAGGCCAGATACATCCAAGGATACTGAGGGGAGTATGGGAAGAAACTGATCAGACTCTCGCTGTAATCCTTGAATTGTGCTTCTAAACATGGGTGTGGACAGATGACTGGAGAAGAGCAAATGTTGCCTTCTTGTGCAAATAAGTCTAGCAAATTTAGATTAACCTCAGAGTGGGAAACATTTTAGAAATAACAATTCAGGACAAAATAAACAGTCACTTGGACAAACATGGGTGCATTGGAGAAAACCCACAAATATTCTTTAAGATCAAATCATGTATAATTTGTCTTTTTAGTGAACTAACACTCGCCAAGGCACAGGCTGAGGTCTACAAATAAAAAGGGTAGTGGCAGTATAGGTATGAAGTATCTGAGTCACAGGATACAGAGCGTACTGGTGAATGGTTATTTTCAGAACTGAAACTCGATGAATAGTAGAGTTCCCTATGGGTCAGTGCCAAGAGCATTTAGTTTTCTCAATATATAATTATATTAATGATCTCGAACTGCATGTACAAGATATAATTCCAACATTTGTAGATGACATAAATCCTGAAACTATTACGTTCTCTGAGGAGGACATTGAGAGACTTTCACCGGATGTAGATAGGGTTGGTTAGATTGGCAGACACATAGCAAATGAAATTGAATGCAGAAAACTGTAAAAATTACATATTTTATTTGGAATAAATATAAAGATTGGTGGTGTAGTGGACAGGGAAGAAAGTTATCTCAAAGCAGAATGGGACCTTGACCAGATGGGCCAGTGGGCCGAGAAGGGTGGCAGATGGAGTTTAATGGAGATAACTCTGAGGTGTTGCATTTTGGTAAGGAAAACCAGGGCAGGACTTAAACAGTTAATGGTAGGGCCCTGGAGAGTGTTGCAGAACAAAGAGATCTAGGGTGCAGGTGCATAGTTCCTTGAAGGTGGAGTCACAGGTAGACAGGGTGGTGAAGAAGGCATTTGGCACATTTGCCTTTGCTGGTCAGTGCACTGAGTACAGGAGTTGGGACATTATGTTGCGACTGTACAGGACATTGGTGTGGCTGGTGTTCAATCTAGTCTCCCTGTTATAGGAAAGATATTGTAAAACTTGAAAGGGTTCAGAAAGGATTTGCAAGGATGTTGCAGGGATTGGAGGGTTTGAGCTATAGGGGGAGGCTGAATAAGATGGGGCTTTTTTCCCTGGAGCACCGGAGGCTGAGTGGTGATCTTATAAAAGTTTATAAAATCATGAGGGGTATGGATAGGATGAATAGCCAAGATCTTTCTTTCCAGGGTAGAGGAGTGCAAAGCTAGAACGCACAGGTTTAAGGTGTGAGGGGCAAGTTTTAAAAGGGACCTGAGGGGCAACGTTTTCACGTTGGTATGTGTATGGAATGAGCTGTCAGAGGAGGTGGTGGAGGCTGGTACAATTACAATATTTAAAAGGCATCTGGAAGGGTACATGAATAATAAGGGTTTAGAGAAAGCTGGCAAATGGGACTAGATCAATTGAGGATGGACAAGTCGGACAGGAGGGTCTGTTTCCGTGCTGTATGACTCTATGACCCTGTCAGATAAAGGATATAATTCTAAAGGAGGTGCAGAGACAGAGCAGCCTGGGAATGGATGCACACAAATTACTGAAAGTGACAGGACAGTTTGAGAAACTGATTAAGATGCCACACAGAATCCAGAGTTTTATAAATAGAGACAGTGCACAAAAGCAAGGAAGTTAAAACACCTTTATAAAACACTGGCCCCAACTGGAGCATTGTGTCTAATTCTGGGTAATGCACCAAGAAGTATTTCAAGGCATAAGGGAGAGGATGCAGAAAAGATTCAAGAGAATGGTACCAGAATGAGGAATTTCAATTATGTGCATAGACTAGAGAAGCTGGGATTGGTCACCTTGAGAAAAGAAGGCAGACAGGGGACTTGGAATGTTCAGAGTCACGATGTGTCTTGACTGAGTACTTAGAAAGAAATTGATCACATTAGCAGAAGGGTCAAAGACCTGATAGTACAGACTTGAGCTACTTGGCAAAAGTAGCAGTTGTGACATGTCTTTAAATAGCAGTTGGTGTGGATCCGGAATGCACTGCCTGAGAATGTGGTGGAGGCAGATTTAACTTCCCTTTCAAAAAGGAATTGGATCATCATCTTAAGCAAAAGGATTAGAAGGGCTATGGGGAAAACATGGGGATGTTGGACACACAGAGTTGCTCTTGCTATAAGCCAGCAGGGGTGTTAAGGTCTTTTTCTGTGCTGTAACTAATCTATAACTCTAGTCTATGGTTTTCAATCTTGACACTAATTCTCTGAGCATCCACAGCTTTCTGCAGTAGAGAATTCCAAAGATTTACAACACTCTGAGCAAACAGATGTTTCTTTATCTCAATCCTTAATTTTATACCCTTTGTTCTGAGACTGAGAGCCCATGTTTTGGACCCTATCATCCCAGAAACCAGTCTCATAAACTTTCATTACACTTGGTCTAAAGCAAATATATCCACAATGCTCCAGGAGTAGTTTCAGGAAAGCTCAATACATCAGATTTCTTTATTTTTATCTTGTAATTGCTCAATGAGTAGGAGCTTGTGGATAAGATCTAGTCTCAGAAATGAGAACAGGAATCAGGTCAGACACTCCAGCACAACACAGAGGTTCTTACTATCTCTCACAGAGAGTGCTGCACTGTCAGAGGAGTTGTCTTTCGTACGAGCTGGTAACCAGGGCTCTGTCAGTTGGATATAAAAGAGGCCATGGCACTTTGGAGAAAAGGTGAATTTATCCCTTAAGTCTTGAATGAATATTCATCCCTTGGTGTATATTGCAATAAAATATTACCTGGGCGCTAATTCATTGTTGTTTATGGGAGCTTGCTATGTGTATTTGAGTTAACTGCCGTAGAACAGCGACTACTGTTCAAAGGGGCAGTGCAGTGGCTCAGTGGTTAGCACTGATGCCTCACAGCGCCAGGTACCCGGGTTCAATTCCATCCTCAGGTGACTGTCTGTGTGGAGTTTGCACATTCTCCCCAATGTCTGCGAGGATTTCCTCCGGGTGCTCTGGTTTCCTCCCACAGTCCAAAGATGTGCAGACTAGGTGGACTGGCCATGATAAATTGCCTGTAGTGCTCAGGGATGTGTAGATTAGGTGGGTTATGGGGGATGGTCTGAGGTTCGTTGTGGACGTGTTGGGTCGAAGGGCCTGTTTTCCACACTGTAGGGATTCTATGATCTATAATATTGGCTATAGAATACTCTGGGATTCCAATGGACATGAAAGGCACTAAGTGAATGCAATACTTAAATATCTTTACCAGGCCACACACTCCACTCCAGGTCGCTCCCCAAAGCAGGGACCTTCCCCCACATTGACACCTACAACCCCACACTGAGACCCTGCTCCACATGTTGAGACCCTCCACACACACTCTGAGCCTCTACCCCGCAATCCCTGAGCCCCTCCCCTCACACTGACTCTGTCCACCGTGCTCCCTGAGCCTCTCCTGCCACACACGCTGAGACCCTCCACACACAATCTGAGATCCTCCCGCCACACACTGAGCCCCTCCACCCACACACCGAGACCCTCCCCCACAAGCAGTAACACTCCCCCTACAAACTGAGCCTCTCTCCCCACTAACTGAGCCCACCCATCATAACCTAAGACCCTCCCCCGCAACTTGTGCCCCTCTGCCACCCTCTGCACAGCCCCACCAAGCACTGAACACCTTCCCTCACACACTGAGACCCCCACACTGAACGCCTCCCTTACAATCTGAGCGCCGCCCCACACACCAAGACCCTCCCCCAACACATTGAGCCCCTCCCCCACACACTGAGACCCACCCTTCACACTCTGAGACCCTCCCCCACACTCTGTGCCGCTCTACCCACACTCTGAGCCCCACAACCACACACCCGCAGCCCCTCTCCCCCACATACTGAGACCCTCTCCCCACACGCTGAGACCCTCCCCCCACACGCTGAGACCCTCCCTTCACACTGAGACCCTCCCCCCACACACTGAGCTCCGCCCCCACACACTGAGACCCTCTCCCCACACACTGAGACCCACTCCCCACACACTGAGACCCACCCTTCACACAGAGACCCACCCCCCACACACTGAGACCC